TTCTTTTCAAATTTCTTACTGTTATTCCAACATATTGTATCCCTATTGCATGATAAACAGTAAACTACATTTTTAGCGTTAAATCTGTATCTGCTTCTTTATATGTGTTAATATATAGATTTGTAACGTTAGATACGATGCATATCTGTATTAGTTATATCACATGTTCTGCACTTTCTTTTACATTTGCAACCCTTGTTATCGTTAACAAAGTCGTTGAGTTTGACGTGATTGGCCCCGCCCCTTACCCTGTGGAACCGGGTAGTGCAGTAATAATTTGTAGCGCTGATTTTCGCATTTTTTGACCTAAGATCTAAGCGCATGAGCGGTCAAACCCATAAGCAGAGAGGAGACTTCCCCAAGGTTCGGCAGGGCTGCTGCCCAGGGGGGTGGCTCCCCCTGCAGAACTACCAGCGCTAAGGGCGCCAAAACTGTCCCTTCTTGCCGTTTTTGACTTGTATAACCAAATCAGCGCTAGTCCCTATTTTTTTTGAAGAGGTATGGCCCTCTTTTCTGAGAGACATGGCCCCTCTTTGTGCTAATGATAGTGTGTAAGAAGTATGGGGCATGTTAAAAATTTGAATTTGATTTGAAGACGTTTGTGGAGGCTGACCCATCCCAAACAGTTCAGAAAAGCTACGCTTGGCAAATCCACTGCTGCGGATGCTCTGAAACGCATTGGGGAGGTGAAAAAACTCGACAAGTGGGTGCCCCACAATTTGAGTGACCGGCAGAATTTGGCACGTCTCGCGGTTTCTTCTTCACTGCTTTTGAACGACCCGTTTCTTGACCGAATTGTCACCTGTGATGAAAAGTGGATCATGTATGATAACAGGAGACGTTCCGGACAGTGCTTGGATGCCGAGAACCACCGACGTAATTCCCAAAGCCGAATCCTCACGTCACAGTGTTGCAGTCATCGGCTGGTGTGATCCACTATAACTTTTTGTCACTAGGCCATACCATTACAGCAGGGTCCTACTGTGAAGAAATTGACGAAATGTAAAATGGGTCAGCTGCGGCCAGCACTTGTCAACAGAAAGGGTCCGATTTTTAGCATGACAACGCCCGCCCACACTTTTCACAAATCACTATCCATAAATTGAACGAATTGGGGGTTGAAGTTCTACCACACCCACCATATTCTCCAGACCTTTCACCAACCGACTATCCCTTTTAAACATTTTCAGAACTTCCTTGCTGGGAAACACTTCATAAATCGGGACCAGGCGAAAAAGCCTTCGTGGATTTCGTGGATTCTCGACCACCAAGTTTTTTCTTTGATGGGATTTATCGACTGGTGTCACATTGGCAAAATGTGCTGAATCTAACGGTGCTTATTTCGATTAAATCCGATGAGTACTAAGAAAGCTATGATCGTTCAAATTCAAACACTCAAAACGCTGAGAACTTTCCGGACAACCTAATAGCAAAAGCAAAAAAGTCACAAATGCAGAAGTTATAAATTAAAATTTGAAAAATCATGATCACGCGGTAGCCATAGGGGCGGAGCTTGCAGTGTGTCTAGTAAGGCATGGAGAACTAATCTGTTTTGAAAAGTCGTGAATATAAAATGAAAATGTTATATTAACACATACCTATTCAGATAATTTGGGATAGTCTACCACATTAGTTACTTGTCAGAAGGAGAAGTGTCAGAACTCGGATGGGCCCGGTTTGGGCCAGGTCATTGAGAGCCTCGTTGTTCACTACTGCCCTTCCACGGTTCTCCGTTTTTGTGTATGCTACGGCCATACGCGGTGCCTGCTGGTTTTCCAATGGTTTCCTTTCCATATTTTCGTTAGGATTCACTCATTGAATAAACATATACAACAACAGATATATACAATCACACCACCTTGTTGATTTCTTCCTTACAGGGGAATGGAAAACAACTCGTCCATTCACGATGAGATGTATACCCCTGAAGCATCTTTGGAAGCTGATTTCAGATCTGACTTCCAAATCTGCTAAACGATTCTAGGAGAGAAGTTAGGGATCTTTTTCCCCCACTGTGCTTAACCATTATGATGGGCCTCAATACTTTGTGCTTGTGGGAACCTCGTGACGTAGCCGCTGCAGTGGCTCGATTGCGCAGCAGGTACGTGCGCGGGCTCATAGCTGTGGGACCAGGGTTCAAGTCCTTGGTGCGTTTCGTCGTTTTGCCTTTTATTGAAACGTATGCTAAACACTTGGAAAGCAGTTTGTAGCGTGTCAGTTTTCAGACATTAGGAGCCTCACCCTAATAATTATTGAGTCCTGCCAATGGATTTGGGAAGATATTTCATTTCACTGCAGTGATTCCATCGAAATTGATAACGCTGATGTGGCAGCTTTATTTGGAGCATATATTGCTGTAACTAGTGCGGATTAATGAGCGAGCACATAAGATATCTTGGTACAAAATGGTGTGTCGACATGTTAGAAGAACTTATCAAAGCTCTCGAGGTGAATCGCACTGCTCTCACTTTCTTCCACTAGTTCTCTCGACGCCATTTATCTTTAAGTGCCCCAATAATCGTAATTCTGGCCAGTTTTTGACCGATTGGCGGAATCGGCTAAAAATTTGTCTCCTGGGGTAAATTGATCGGTTAAAGACGAATACCGCATGCGCTCAGCACGAAACCTCCTGAGGCCCGCGCTATAGCGCCGGCTCCAAAATACCTGAAACCATTGGCGCCTGTGGCGCGGGCGTCAGGAGGTTACGGGTCAAGCGAATGTGATATTCGTATTCAGGAGGTCTCAGGATTCAACAAGTGAGCCAGGTCTGTCCGTGGAGAAAAGAAGTCGATCGAAAGTAGGCGCGATTTCCCATGACTGGGGTAGTAAAGGGTAAAGAGTGCCGTTTGCAAGTGGTATCCGGTAGCAATAAAGCGCAACCTGTCTTCATGCACGAAAAGTGCGACTGTTCCTTGTACTGGATCGGCTGGATCGGTAGCACGCTATGGCTTCGTTCATCTCAACCACACGCATGCTATGCTATGGACTTGTACAAAAGTGAAGTCTTCAAGCAATGAGAACTTTCAAACCACCTCTCTAGCGGGACCTCCATACATCGAAAGTGCAATCCTCCTCTGTTCTCGGGTCAGTGACTGCACGATATCGCAGGATCAGAATTCTTCCACTAGATGTGATAGTAACAAAGTCGCGCAAACCATACCTCCAGTTATTAGACGTAAGATTCGAGAGCTGTTGGCCGATATTGTGAGTGTGGAGTCAAGAGGACTACTGCATATGGCGAAGTTCCGTGTTATGCAAACATCAAATGTTGTAATCAACAAAGAGGTCAAAACTTTCGGTTCAAGTGCTTGAAGCAGTTATGAAGGTTTATGTGACCCCTGCTTGAGCGAATAGATGAGAGTGCAATTCCTCTCGGAAGTCATCCACAGGGCTCAACAAGGAGCAGAGTAGGGCCCCTAATGTTTGGACTGATACGTAAAACTACTTTCCAAGTGTTTAGCATACGGTTCAATAAAAAGCAAAACGATGAAATGCTTAAAGAATTGGAACCCTGGTCCCACAGCAACAAGCCCGTGCACGTATCTGCTGCGCCATCGAGCCACTGCAGCGGCTATGTCACGAGGTTTCCACAAGCGCAAAGTATGGGCAGGAGGCCCACCGCAATGATTAAGCAGAGTAAGAAAAAGGTCCGTAACTTCTCTCCTAGAATCGTTTAGCAGATTCAGAAGTCAGATCTGAAATCAGCGTCCAAAGGTGCTTCTAGGAGTATAGATCCCATCCTGAATGGCCATGACGAGTTGGTATCTTTCCCTTGTTAGATGGTTTTCTGAGCAACGATTAACCCAAACTGAGCATGGTTTGTCACGGTAATAGTATACAATAAGCAAACTCGCAATAGTACTATCGTAATTTACAGAATAACTTAGTGACCCATGAGCTAACAGCAAAAATTAATGACTGGTCAAAAATGATGTAAACATAAACAGATGAGAATCATTCAATACAACATAAGGAACTGACGGTATTATAGTTCTTCGTACTGCAGTTCGAGGTGAGTGTTGCGTGTGAAAATACACATGTGGCTCACACCTCACAACTGCTCAGGCTTAGAGCAATTTCACTGATGTCACTCGAGGGTCGTGGGCTTCGAATATGAATCTGAAGATGCATGTTGGCTCCCGAGACAAGAAAACGGCCAAAACCATCCCTAAATGGTTCCCTCCCTTTTGTAGTTTATGCTGTGCACTGGATAAATATTCGAAATGGGTGGTGGAGGGTGAGCGCGTATAAGCTAAAGATCAGACAACGGATCATCGGAAGAGCCCACAGTCACACGTACAGTAAGGATTTCAAAGTTAGTGGCAGTGGGCATGGTACTTTGGTTAGGCGTATTCAGCAAAAGTGCCGGTAGGGGAAAATAATCTGAATCTTCAACCTGGGTTCCGTGATAGGTCATCACATGGTACATGATAGTATCGTTAACATGTCCCTATTTTTATTAAGGATATTTTTTGATATTTTCCTAAGGTTTGCAGTGGGTGAAAAATATGTTTTTTTCGCGTACATTCATTGTTGACCGGCCATGATTTAAATTAGAGTATGCTTGTCCGCTTCCTAATTGCAGCTGTCAACAAAAACCTGTTTTCACGCGATCTCCGGCCGTTTCGTCCCGTTTTCGCTCCGGTACCGGATTACTTAGCGCCTCTACTAGCGTTTCGCGTCAGGAGCTACATTATCGTGCGCGCTGCCTCCTGCCTCCTGCCTCCAAATGCAACATTGTGAAGCGATTCTATGGGTGCTGGTGGAGCCCATTTGATGAAGAGCGACCAGGTTCAAGTTACAACTCCTGCCGCCCTTATTACTGCGAAGGGGTATACCTCCGCGCGACTGTGGGCCTATTTATCGTACATAGAAGGTACTCCTTCGATTACATAATTGCAGGGTGTATATTCAAGCAGTGACTGCGCGGCTCAGGCAAGACTACCAGGGCACGTGCCTGCATACATTCAACCATCAGTTATTGGGAAAGAGGAAAAAATTCAAATATCCCTAGTGAAAGCAGGCATACTGCTTATGTACTGGTCGTATCGCTGCGAATAGTCGGGATTTGGAGGCAGATACGGCGGATACTGAGGTGTGTAGTAATTATGCATTGCATACATCCCTTGTTCAGACGAATGGAAATGTGGCGGCATCTGTGGGCACCAAGACTGGGGCGAATAGGGCATGGAAGAGGCCTGATGGTCGTTGTACAACCCCACTGGGGCAGGAGCGTCAATATGATGCGGATGATGACTGGTAGGCATTTGAGTGGACATAACGCTGCCCGATTCCGAGTACTGGAGTGAATTCGAGGAGTCCCAAATGTCTGGCGGCTCTTGAGGGCTGTTGATTTCCATCACGTGCTCTCTGTGTGTACCCAACGCACTGTCGCTCACGTCAGAATGAGACACGTTCCCTGAACAGTGCTAAATTGATCACTGAACATTAGGAAGTCATATAACTCAATAGAGAATGAAGTTGAATCCTCACGTGAAAACGGCGATGAACTCTGCGGCACCAAGTTCGGACAAAAGACGTTCACGAATGGATAGTCCGCGATTGCAAAATCCTGACAGAAAAAATAAATATCGATGGGACAACTCGGATTCGGTCATCTTGATACTTTGGCATGTGCTTATGAGTGTGTTTTTCTATGCTTTACAGGGTTTGTCATGATAAAGCCGTTCATTGTGTCCGACGTTTCAATCAGGTCGTCGTTATCAATGACCTGAAATGGTTCAGTGGGCTCTTATCTCTAAACTAGACGGCCACGAGCTTTATCATTGTTGGCAGTTGCAATCAGTCTCAGGAGGTTGAAACGAATTAGCAACTTGAATGGACCGATCAACGTACCACTGCTTCACCAGTGCTGTCACCCGCTCAGTGTCGTGAATAATCAAAAATGAGAAGCCAATGGCAAGACTCATTACGTGACATGCAGTAGCAGACAAAAGTAAGCGACCTAACGATTTTTCGCCCATAACTTTTCTTCACCCAACCAGTTCCTCTCAAATATTTCAGTGTGTGTCATACCTATCACTGTAACCAATAAATAGCAGTATTTGGCCCTGAATGCTTTTCACGGTCCGCAATTTTCTGGCGCAAAGGAAGATTCAGTGTCTACTAGGCTATCGTCCCATTTTTCGAGGTTTGAGGAGTTCTACGACATAATTTTTGGGTGCAAAAAGAAAGTTCTAATCTTTGCATTTGGATGGAGATTGAAACCTCCCACCTAAAAAAGGCCATGAATATGGAAAAGGTTGGCATAAAGGCGCGAGTAATCCGAAAATTTCTGAACGCACAGTGGCATCGTGTTCGCAGCATCAGAACGATAGCCAAAGTACTGAAGACCGTTGGATCATAATTGACATCTATTCGCCCAATAAACCCATCACCTACCGCTCACAGGCTGATTCCAAGTGCCTTCGCGTCGACCGCAGCTAAGTCTGATAGCACCAATGAGGCAAATTACTGCTATTTATTAGCAAAAAGATTGTCCGTAGAATACTGAGAGTTCTAAAGCTGAATGGTAAGTGTAAGTGGCTGTAAGTGTCAGAAAACCGCTAGCTCAGCTCAGAGAATCAAATAGACAAAAAGTAGAAAGTCGCTCTCTGCACTTTCACTGAATGCCGAAAGCTGGGGACAACGTCCAACCCATCAGCGCAGAAAGTTTAGATTGATGGCAAACATACATAACACATCGCGGACAACCATTTATGTATCAGTTCATCGTTTTCACCAGTAACTCATTAGTAATTTCCTCCCTCTTTTCAATTGCTATGAGGTACAGCAGCGGAAAAAAAATTGGAACAATCCCTAGTAGCGCACTTTCTAATAGCTTAACCCAGAAGTTCTAAACTGTACATGAAAGCGTTGTTTGCTCAAACCAAGTACTCCAAAAAGCTACGTGAAAGCGTTGTTCGCTCAAATCAAGTACTCCTAAAAAGCTACTCTAAACAAGAGAGTTGGTTGATTGACTTCGTTGCAGAGACAGAATTTTGAAGATTATGGCGATGAGGCACTTTGAGGAGGGGGGACCTGCTAGTGGGGTGAGGGCTGCTAGTGTAGGAGTCGACTTTTTTTATCTTCTCAGTCGAGTCTACTACTGATCAGCATTTTCCCCATTCACGAAAAACTCGTTCAGGAGGGAGCCGATCCGGGCTTTGCATCCCAGACCACGCTTGTAGCAGGTGGAGCCACTTGTCACTACTATCTCCGCTTAACCAAAACTTCAATATTATTGTATTATAACATGTTCTCAGCTTGTGACCCTAACAATGGTGTTTAAGAAGAGATTAGACGGCTCAGAACAGACGAAAATGCCTTTTCAAGGATTGTTCCAAGTTTTTTTTTTCAGATGTAACTATCTTTCGTGTTCTAGAATGTGTTTTGATTACAGCGAAACATAAAAGAAATTCTTGACACATCATATGTGTCACGAGGACAGAACGCGTTAATAAAGTTGGATTAGAGAATTACGAGCCCGCTCCCGTCAGTGGATTGGACGTCGTCCTCACAGCTCGATAATCAATGAAAGTGGTGGGGAGCGACTTCTACTTTGACCCTTTGATTCTTCAGGCTCACCAGCGGCTTTTCGGTCGCATATTTACCATTCACCCTAAGCACTCTTGGTGTTTTTCCGACAATCCATTTATATATTTGTTCATTAACGCTATTGAACTTTGCTGCGAAGTTAACGCAAGTCCACCTGAAATTAGCCTCCGAGCAGTTGGTGATGCGTTTATGCTGGCGAATAGATCTCAACTATAGCTGAGCGATCTTTGAAACTATGACTACTCTTCATGTGTTGCGAACGATAGCACTGTGCGTTTAGAAACTTTAAGAATAGTGGAAATGTGCACCTTCATTGTCGACTTTTTTCATATCTATGTCAGTTTTTTTTCTTCCGCTGTCCAAGGTTCCAGCCTTCTTCCAAATCATGAGCAGAATTGTGTTTCGGCACCCAAAAATGATGTTGCAGAGCTCCTCGCTTGTAGACAGTCAAGCTAGTCCTTGCGCCGAAAAATTACGGACCGTGCACCGTCTTCAGAGACAAATACTGCTGTTAATTGGTAACAATGATAGGTACAACATGCTATAATTTGGGAGAAATCGGTTGTGTGAGAAAAAAAGTTGTGGGCGAGAAACCATTCGAGCGCTACTATATGTTTCGTAAGCCGCACAATGATTCAGATAAAACTTCACTTGTAATCGTCATGCGCTAGTTCTTGTTCAGCCCAGGACTTCGCACGCGAATGAGGTACGCTTCTAGAGCCTTTCTAGCCGATATCGTCTTCTTAGGATTAAACCTTGCAATTGGCATCAAAACCATTCCCGCGCTTGGTGCTTGTCCTTCTAATCACTGCTTACCAAGTGGGTTACCTTATCCGATATGAAAGGTAGTCCAAGATATAGCACATTTTCGTTGTTCCTATGAGGATGCCCACGTGTACGTGATCTCCAGTGCTCCCCGTCATAACCATTCACTATTTCGGCCTTGGGTGCCAGTGTGCGCGACTCTTCTCGTTCCGCATCGCCTCGACAATGCCCGATAGTTGTTCAACCATGTTACGAACAACAGCTCAACTCATCTATGTCCAGGAATGAGAGCCAGTTGATGTGTGAGACTCCTCTAGTAAACCTGATGATTGTCGGTACAAGATGTTCATCAATTTCATGTTGCGTTGATGTAATAATGCAGCAGTCGTCAAAATACCTACTCTAACGGGCAGGCGCGACAGCACTGGCCCCTTTACTGTTCTCATGAAGCAGATAGCTACCGACGCTATTTGTTGTCCCATTGTAATTGTAATTGTCCTCTAGTTTTAGAGAGATAAAGCGCACTCCACTTACCTAAAAACAACGCCCTCGATCAACCCAAATGCGGAACTTTAGAATACAAGGTGGCGGAGCTTGTGTTCACAAAGGATATCCCACTTTCACGGCTCATAAGCTCTTGATAAAAGCACTAACTCAGCAATGATAAGCTGACTCTGCGTTGAACACTTTTTCATTAGCAAGATTCATTGGCGGTGATAATTGCTAATCTTATAAAATATGTCTTGGAGAGTGAGTCGTAGCAAGTGGTAACTAGTCTCAGAGATCTCGCCTAAAATTTGATCAACTCGTCCGTTTTCAATCCCAACCTTAAGTGCTTTAGGGCATTTTCAAGGGGTTCTCTTGATTTTTTCTTCTTTAGCATTGTACTTGCAACATGATCTAATGGTTCTAAGCTCTACAACCTGTGAAAGGCGATCGCGGGCGTTGCCTGAGCCCGAACGTTACAATTCTGATTGACATTCTGACTGATAGTCGCACATTCTACTGCTTTTGTTGGACTACTCAGAGCTGCCTCTTGCCACTCTTCTGTGGGGTATTCAGTGCATGAGATTACTTCTGCTATTTCACTGTTACCTATTTTTTGACATCGGATTCACTTATTGTGGAGGATCGATATCCGATTTGCGTTGGTCACGAACGACCCATTATCAGTTTTCATCTTGTCGGGTCGTACGATAAGTTGTATTGATTCAATTTTTCATATATTTTTCCTGGCCTATTAACCATGGACACTCCACGCGTTTCAAAGGTACAAAAAGATCGTGCCCGTCCACTTCGCCATTGTCGCCAGCTTCAACTTCGTCAATATATCTCTCTCCGCGGTCTTTTCTGCTTTAACTTACGCCTCGGAGACCTGGACTGTACAAAAGTAGGATGAACATGCGGTTAACGTCATTCAACGCGTCACCGAAAGGGCGATGCCGAAATTTTCCGCTACACACAAGCGAGACAGGAAATCTGCACTTCGCAGACAATCAAGATCAGAGACGCAGCCGCATTCAGGGTACAGCGTCGTTGTGTGAAAAACGTAGGGGGATGGGCGTATTTGGGCTGGGAAACTGGGTCGTATTTGGTCGTTGTTTGGAGAGGGGGGGGGGTCGTGTGTGGCTTTGAGAGAAAGTCGCCGCGTTGGAAAAAATTTTCCCAGTTGTTGACTTTTCCCGTGATTTTTCCTGTTTCATGCGTATTGTGTACCCCGACCCCCTGCTCGACGGAAAATCTCTGGGTGAAATACTGGAATATGTGGGAGATTTGTAGGTAGGTGCTGGAGAACGGAGGAGGGGGGAGGGTCGTACCAAGACTCTCCCCGAGAGGGGGTTCGTACTGGCAGTACCATTTCACACATCACGTTGCTGTACCCTGGCCCCAATGCTAATTTCGAAGACCAGGTAGGCCGAGCACGTCATGCGTTTTAAAGAGACCGCTGGACAAGAGTGATAACAGAACTGGATTCCACGGACGTTAAGCGGACACCTAGACGACCAATGGTCAGACTTCTTCGTGGAAGCTCTGAACGAACGATATCAAGTTCATCGTGTCCCTCAAGTACAGAGATCCCATTGGAGAAGTGTAGCACGTTGCAGAACGATGGAGACGGCTCCCGCTCGAGGAACTCGATGATCAACGGGAGCACAGGTGATACATGTGATAAACATTGTTGCATAAAATGAAGGAAAAGCAAACACGATGTTATAAGCATAAGCGGAGCAATGAATATGAGGGTCAAAGACACCAACCACGACAAGTCGAAAAACGGGATTCATTATCAAGATGTGCTAATCGGCCTTTTACGACCCCCTCTTGAGGGAGGAGTCTTGAGACGACTTTCTCTCGCAATCCTCCTACCACCTTTTCCCAAAATTTTGCCACTCTGTCATAACCGAGGGGAGGGGGGAAGAGGAGGTTAGATACCTCTGATCGACTGTTAGAAAAAGTGGTTTTCAGAAATAGTAGTATTAGAAATAGCAGCCAACAGTTGGGAGGTATGTCACGAGTAAACGCGCTGAGCGCAGAACATGAAAAATCACAGTCGGAGAAATCTCTCTACTATAAGACTCCTCTTACCTCTGATGAGAATAGCACAACCGTCACGTTTGCTGGTCCTAAAAAAGACTGGAAAATGTCATCAATAAGAACTCTGCTGACAATGCCATGACAGAAGATTTCATGGAGAAGCGGCGACGTTTAACAAGAGCAGCGGACACTGCGAGGCGCGTGACCAACGCTTAAGAAAAGTATAGGGAAAACCGTGTCGTAAACTACTCTGAGCTCGCAATGTGATGCGGGTTATTTTCGTCTACCTAGAGGGGTGATCTATGATATCCAAGTGATTTTTGACTGGTGCCTCGGAATGCTTCCGCAACTTCTGAAATACACCTTCTCTTACGAATAGAAACCGAAATGTTCCACACTGATTACTTCGTTGAACTACGCATCGGATATCATATCGAATCGTGGCATCAAAGCAGCATGTTCTATGCTTTGAATCGTGGAGCGAACCGATGTGCTGCTAATCATGAGAAGACAAACATGTAGCCAGAGGCTACTACTTGACGCCATTCTCACTGTATAGGTTCAATGAGTAGGTTCTTCGTTCGTTCTCCTCAAACACTTTCTGGGAATAACGCGTTCCACCATAAAACAAAAAATGCTGTGAACGAGATTTCTGAGATCCTTCTATTAGGTCATCCCATTCAAAACTGCCGAAGATCTTATTCATATAAAGCGAAGAGAAAAACAGATAGAAAAATAATATTTTGGCTTTGAGTTACGTAGATCCCTCCCCCACCAATGACCCGCTCCCAGTGCCCCGGAAGCTGCTGGACCTCTGGTACGTTCGGTTTTTCAACAAAGAGTAAATTGCTGTTGCTGCCGATTTCGGCAAATGACAAAACATTGTAGCGTTTGCCGTCGAAGAGTACCTTCGACTGACCAGAACAGTTGGAATGAACGGCTTTATGTTGGGCGGATGGGGCGATTGAATCCAGGTCTCAGTATTGTTTGTGTCCCAGCACTGCCCTTCAATACAGTTACTCGGGGTCTGGCACTATGAAGAGCAACGGCGGCCTTTTTGTAGTTGTGTGGTATCATCCGTTTGTCGATCTGATTGCCGAGGAACAGGCAATCTACACCGACAGCGACGATTTGCTTCTCATCTTGCATTCATACAAAATTGACGATTGTGAGTTTTGCTCTCAGAGTTATTAAGACCAGATCATTATGTTCATCTAGGGACGGGGGCGCGCGTCGTGCGATGCGCATCTTACTGCGCGAGCGAACATTACCGCTTAATGTATAGAATGGGTACTGCGTTCGTGCTTCCTACAAGAAATAGGTACCATTCCGCGCACACCCATCTCGACCATCCTCAGATTTATCGGACGGATGTCAAACTCGCGGGGAAGCTCGACAAAGATCCAGGCTCTGTGATCAGACAGTCAGCGCTTGACTTTCATCCACCCTTTTTTCTTGTGCAGGATGAACACTATGGGACCATCCACGACAACAAATTTTTCCCTTTCTTCCTTCTTCGGGCTCCTGAACCAAATATTCCACCTTGTTTTCGAGAACGCCATTGCACACAACTGCTGGTCCGAAGCAAGTCAAATTTGAGCAACGCACTTCCCTCTTATGACACCTGATTTGAAAATCCAGCGCTGATTTTCACCACTCATGCTTCTTTTCGATTTCTCGAGAACTTCTTCTGTGAGTAGGTTTGCCAAATTCCATGGATACACAGTTAAAGCTAAGCCTCCAAATAGTATAGTACCCGCTACTCAATCTCCTTTGCTTTTCTGCCATTCCTCTATATGTCTCGGCACTTTTGAATGGGATGACCTAATACAAAGTGACTACACATTTATAGTTCTCTGTAAGAAGGGTATCTCAGCGAAAAACTACACACCTCCAGGCACTGTCGCTTCCATATGCGGAGTGGGTAGGTCCGCAGCTGCAATAGTGTGTCCTTTCTTCGCTCAAAAACGCACACAAACCGGGTGCGTTTGAGAGTGGTGATACTGGGTGCTGGCCCCACAGTCCGCCCGCGCTATCCCGATACTGGGTGAAACACTTGCGCGGATACCGGGTCCAGCAGCAAAACACGTACTCAGCGGTAGAGAACAATCAGAAGTGAGAGGCGCAGAAAAGTACACGGTGAACTCGTCTGACCACACTTTCAGTTTATTGTTATCTTCTACGAACCCCCTTTGAAGGGAATTATCCTATTCAGAGCGTTTGCTACAGTTTTTATCTTTGTTTTTCCTGTTCAGTTTCTTGGCCTCTTGGCATTCCCTTTTCTTCTCTTCACCGCCTAAACAGCGTTCATACTTCGCGACAGCAGCGGCGACCTCGGCGATCGCCGCGATCGTCGATACGTGGCAGAGCGCGCCACAACGCTATTATGGACCGCTCGCTTGATAAATAAGGGAATCCAGTTTTTGAGACCTTCTTTTCTCTTAATATAATGGCTACTAATGATAACTTACGACTGCCTATACATGAGCGGATGTGAAATATGAGGTAAGGTTTCAATTCTTTCTAGGTCGGGATAAGGCCAACCCCATTTCCTGGGTGAACTTCTTTTTGTTTCTTTTGTTTTTGTTTCAATTCATACGAGCGCACTGTTCCAACTTTCAAAAGCATTTATAGTTTACAAGTCAAGTTCAAACAACAAAGAAAGAAAAAAGAAAGAGAAAGAAACCACCTAAGAACCGAAATACTAATCATCTTACGCAAACAACAGGTGAAAACTTTAGAGCCTCATAAGCTCGACGAATGAAAGAAGAAACAATAAAAACCTACCCTAAATAAAGCCCTCGCGCTCATTTCTATCCTGAATCAAGAAAGAAAATAGAAAACAAAAGCCATTAACTTGGGTTCACCTTTCTTTGTGTCAAACCAAGCTTCAGTACCTAAGAAAATTGCAGTTAAAGGAAAAAACATGGAATTGAGTCGCTTCTCCCTAGAAGCCTTCGGAGCGGTCCAAGTAATAGCGTTGGGGCGCGCTCTGCCATGTACCGACGATCGCGGCGATCGCCGAAGTCGCCGCGATCGCCGCTGCTGTCGCGAAGTATGAACGCTACCTTACTCATCATTCCTAATAGCGGGCTCTGCCTTCGATACGCTCACATGTCATGGTGTTTTCAACTAGTTGAAACGGATTAATACCGCCGGTATCTGCTCGCCCGCTCCTTCCATCAGTTGTGTCCACAATAAAGATCCAGACTCATCGCCTAATCGAATACTTCGATACATAGGACTCGGCATAGCTGACGGCAGTGCTGTTGAGGTAGTTGAAGCTTCCAAAGATTGCTGCAACTGTTGATTGATGTGATGAGATCATTCAAATCACAAAGATTTTTTCAGTAAGCAGCACCAAAGTGTTCACTCTATCCTTGAACCTCGCATAGGGTGGAGGAGCATTTCGTGGCACACGTCCGCCAAGCATTATCGTTTTCAGTGACTCCCTAGCAAGATTTCCTGGAATTCAGGTGTATCATCAATTCATCCTGTTACTACATATAGGAGTATACATATTTAGGAGAACTAACCTAAGACAGGGTCAGGACTTCTTGTTAAGAGCTGCAGACTGCTAATCAAAGTGTGACTTTGACTGAAGAATGCTGCCATCTGGAAGTTCTTCCTCGGAAAGGGATCAAGGGACTATTCAATAAAGCAGTCGCCAACCTTCGGATGAGATACCGTTGCTTCAATGAGTGAGATCGCCGACTTTTTGATGCCTTCTTCGTGGAGCTCACGAAGAGCGTAAACAGGTAGAAGGGTGTCACATTCACGCACTTTCATATTTTCTGGGTATAGGAGATAGTAGACCACCTGAAAGTTCGACTGTGAACCTCCGGTACTTTCAGACCAAAAGGCCTGAAAGACACAGGAACGCTAAACTCTAAATGGGGTAGCACTTTCGTTTGGAAGTGGGAACCAGGGTTTCTCCTCGTAAAAAGACATATACGATCAACTTATTCACCATTGTTATTGCGCGGTCTTTGTCAGCGTTTGGTCTTCATATGGATGCCATCGCTTCACGAGGCTTGCTCTCGCGACGCAAAGTCAGAGGTCAGTTCGATTTGACATGAAATTGGTCACGGAGTATGGATGGCGGACGTTCTTGAAAATTTTTTTGAAAGACGTTTTTCTAGCTCGAATTCAGTTTTTACACCGTTTTTCGTTTTTCTTTTCACTAGTAGCAGGCTTAGCAAGCTAAAATTATAAGAAACGCAGAGAATGGCGAAGAGTTGATACTTCAATAGATTCAACACATAAAGAAGAAACTAAATCGCAAGGCCTAAACTGAAATATTAGGTTAGTCCATAAAAAAACTGCGCTTTCTGCGCTTTTTCTTACACCAAGTTTTACGTGAAAAGCGTGAATTGTTTCTAGTAGGTTCTACGTCATTTGATACATTATTTTCTGCATTACAACATGGTATAAGTGTCCTCCTACTATTCCTTATTTTTGTCAATTTCTATTTCATTGAAATGGAGTGGCGGGTCGTCGCAAAAATGAGTTTTTGACAACTGGACAAATTCAACGCGCTTCAATGCGCATTTCTTTCCGAACGACCTAATGGTTTCCCCAAACACAGCTTCAGACTATTTAATATATCAAGCCAATGCAGGTAAGTAAATCCGGAATAGTTCCGAAAATTTGCCTGCTTATATTGGATAGAGACCGAATGAGAATGGAGGAATATAGCGAATGCAAAGGCGGTGTATATTGTCATTCTAAAGCTTCAAAAGCATGTGTTTGTTCCGCTAATACACTAACACGCGTGGTCTCACCCTGATTGACATGACTGCCTTTGTTTGCGATGTGAAAGAAAGGTTTGATGAGTAGTGATGGAGGATTCTTGTTATGTTGTGTCACTGTTATCTTCGTGCTCTGAATCTAAAATTACGGAAATCACGAAGTTTTACCGAGCCATCCAGTCAACCTCCCTGAACGAAAGAGCCCACACGAGCAGACAATATTGGGTTAGCAAATAATCTGGGAGCGGTTCTTTATTTGCGAAGCTTTCTGTGAAAAGTGGAGGACTTTCCGGCACTATTCAACTGTTACTACCCCAATTTTCCAAATCGTCCAGATTTTGACCGACTTTTTTCTGAGGTGCCGGATTCGGCTGAAATTTCGTTCTAGAGGTATTTCGACCTCCTGAAGCTGTCTGGCACCCGCACCACAGACGCCGGCGGCAAAAATCCTGAATCACCGAATCCGCTGAAGACTTGTTTCCAGGGGTAATTGACCCTGG